CAGTGCTCGGTGTCTTGATAAAAAATAAAATATGTAAGTGTGCGTACATAAGTTTTTATTCGCTCAAATCAATCAGTGTAAAGTAACTATTCGCTACAAAAATAATGAACACTCAGTTGGAAGTAATTTTTGACGGTACTTAACTATTTTTGGGGTGTTATAAAAAACGCGTCTTGACACAATGCTTTTCTAACAAAATTTTTTGTGCTACACATTTTTATTAAGGAAGAATCGTGATTGTATATTACCACAAAATGTGTAATATCTTAAAAAACTTATCTTTTCAAAAAAGATACAAACAGGCGCTAAGTACACACACAACACGCATTGTATTTAAATTAAAATCTTAATTCAAACTGTTTTTTATATATACAATTGAGACTAAAATAAAAATGACTATTTTTTGACGGTTTTAAAATATTGCTCAGTGAAAATCTCTTCTCTTCTCAAATATCTGAATTTCTTGTATTTAGAGACACAGTGTGCTCACACGTTCGAGCATGACTTCGTTGCGCGTGAACGTGGCGCAAGGCACTGCGTGTCTTTTGATATTTATTAATTTATAACTTGTTCATTATACAATTTAATGTATATATGTATGTATATCGAAATGTTTAATATTTATGAGTTAAATGCTCATTGAAACATTCGTACTATAACTTACGGTTTATACGAGTCTACATGCTGGGTGTTCGTGTAATTATAAATATAGTTTAAAAAGATCTACTGGCCGAGATGTCTTTTTCGGAATAAAGATTTTATTTTCCAAAAAAGGATAAAATGAATATTTCACATATTCGTGATGCAAATATTATTTTCGAATTAAATACTTTACTTGGAAATACTTTACTTGATGTGTATTAAATTATACGATTTTGAAAAGTTTTAAAACTTATTTATAATCTCACAAACACCCAATATGTAAATAAATAGCGTAATTCTTAGTTTGTTTAATGAGTGTTGCATACAAAAATTTGTTTTAAATATTGTACTGCAATTTTATTTGTAGATCCGGTCACGCGTAATTGGGCGTTACTAGAAACGCCATTCCCAGTAATAATTATAACCTTTGCTTATTTGTATTTTATACTTTACGCTGGACCAAGATACATGAAGAATCGCCAACTATTTAACTTAAAAACCTTTATAGTATTTTATAACGTATTTCAAATTCTTGCTAATGCGTGGCTGGTGCACAGTTATATATCTGCCGGATGGTTTACTAAATATAGCATAAAATGTAGTAATAATAATGATCTGACGAGTACAAATGGTTCAAAGGTATGTTTTTATGTTAAGTATTGATAAAATTATATTGCTGAACTACAAAACGTAACACATATTTGTCTGTAAAAACAATGTACTTACTACATTTTCTTTTCACATTTTAAACATGTAATAATTAATATTTTTCAAATTTGTGCATTTCAGCTAATAATTATTACATGGTGGTTATTTATATTAAAACTAATTGATTATATCGAAACGTGTATATTTGTTTTACGGAAAAAACAAAATCAAGTGTCTTCTTTGCATGTATATCATCATGTGTCTACTGTTTTTTTTGGATGGTATTTCCTCAAATATATAGCGGACCCCAGAATAACATTTGCGTGTGTACTCAATTGTTTTATACATGTTATCATGTA